CTTGATCAGTTCCAGAGATTTTTATCCTGTGACCTTGGTACAGGGCTCCACACTTAACTATGTGAGAAAAGAATTTAAAACTAGTAGATAAACTATTTTCTGCTAACCTAAATGGAAGCAAAATGAAAATCTAGACCACAGAGAGGAAAAAATATTTAATTTTCCACTTATGAATGATATCTGGTGTCTTTGATGAATGATGTCTGGTTGCAAAGAGTCAGACACAACTGAGCGACTGAACTGAACTGAACTGATCTGGTATATTTTTTAACTTGGGGTATTATCTTTTAAAAATAATCTTGAGAGAAAGCAGAATTCCAGAGACCAGAATAGGATTTGGAGGACTTTAAGGGGCCCAGAAGCTAAATCATGTAAAGAAAATAAATATCATTACTCTCAGGATAAAAACAAACATACAAATGGTAATATCACAGGTAATCTCTAGTTTTAAAAATGCTGAAGAGAGTAGTGTTTGCATTTCTGTAGAAGGTGAGGGGGAAAGGGGGGGCCTTTCAATTGCAAGAGAGAGGAGAGCATATTTTGGCTTTAAATTCAAGTTATCCAGTAATAGAATGGTAAATTTGGAAAACTGGACTTCTAGTCACACAAAGCATTGTATAGAATTCTATCTATAGAATTTTTCTCTAAAGATGCTTTGATCCTTTGTTATAAACTTTACCATTTTACTCCTCACTGTAGATTCAGAAACTTCATTATATGTATAAATTGTAAAAGTGAAGTGAAGTGAAGTTGCTCAGTCGTGTCCGACTCTTTGTGTTCCCATGGACTGTAGCCTACCAGGCTCCTCCATCCATGGAATTTTCCAGGCAAGAGTACTGGAGTGGGTTGCCATTTCCTTCTCCAGAGGATCTTCCCAACCCGGGGATCAAACCCAGGTCTCCCACATTGCAGGCAGATGCTTTACTGTCTGAGCTACCAGGGAAGCCCTTGTAAAATGAGGCTGTAAAGTTAAAAGATGGGTGATTCTGGATCTAATCAAGTCTTTGAATCTAATAAAGTCTTTCTTGCTTATTGACGCACAGTGGAGCTTTTTTATCACCAATGCTTCCCATAGTTTTTTGTCCTTTTATGGTCAGCCCTTCCTTTTGATTTGCTTCTTTCAAGCTTCTTCCTGTCCCTTGTGTTTCTCTGATTTGATGCTCAGGTGAGATAACTATTCTAGACTGTGCTATTCAAAGAATATCTTTCTTTTGTTGTATGAAGCAAACAGTCTTATACTACATACTTTAAATGTGACATCTGTGGGATGTTTTCAACACCAGCCATCCTCTTTGAATAAGGCTTTTGTTGATTTCTGTGTTTCCTCATGCTGCTCTATGTTGATAGTGTTTTTTGATTTTGAGTGCCAGATTATCAAGTTATTAGACAATCCTACTTCAAACCTCTCAAAATAAAATATGACCAACTAACATTAATGAACATCCATACTAGCATGAGAGGCTTACAATGTGAATGTCTGTTTTAGGAAATGTCAGTAACAAATTTGTAAATGACCAGCCTAGGGCAGTTTTTCCATATGACAACTATATTTAACAGAATCTCTTCTTAAATGCAGTTTTGTAAAAAGCACACCTTCAAGGAAATCAAAAGGAAACCCATGAAGAATAATTGAGCTTTAATTTGATCATATTTTCAATAGTGAAATAGCTACAGAAGTTTGTAATCAAGATTAGAATATTACAAAACTACTTTAGTATTTTATGGATACACATTGAATATAGAAAAATATGTCAAAAACACGTGTATAGTATAATAATTAACTAAAGGAAACAGAATCAGGGAGACAGTGAAGGAGACTTGTATTTTTCACCATATACTACTGTACCTTTGAAATTTTTGAGGCAAGTGTGTAGAATTTATTTAAAGGAAAGAAGGAAAAAATTAGAAAGTACCTACAGTCAATGCCCTATTATTTAATAAAAAGGCAGGAATGCTAACTATAGCATATTTCCTATTCTATCCTATGCTATACTAGTGATTCTATTAAAAATTATCCTATTTTTACACTTATTTCCACTTCTGTGTAGAACACTAAAGATGAAAGATTCTCAGTTGAAAGCAAAGAATAGGCAAAAAAGTTATTTCATATTTTATTAAAAATAAAATCAACATGAAATTATAAAATGACCTATTTATAAAAGCAAAGGAGAAATTTTTCATTCTGAAGTATTTATTTTACTGTTCTTAGTATTGTATGGTTATTCTTCCATTTCCAAAATCACAAGAAAGAAATAGCAAATGACTGAGTTTATAGAAATGAAAATAACCATATAACTATTTAAAATGACACAAATAATTGACTTGATCTTCTCTGTATGCTAAATAAGAATGAAAAAACAGTCAGCATTTAAAATCAGAACACCTACTATGAGATTTGAAAAATTTATCTTCAAGAGAAAAACTTTGTTACAGATATAAGCCTTTCTATTTAAAGGTACCGTTTTTTGACCCCGTTAAAGAAACTTCTGCTTTAGTAAGTATTAAATTTAAAAGCTGAATAGATAAAGCTAAACTATCTATATTGCTAGGACATGCACATAAATATTTTAAATTATATACAGTACTGAAATTACTACTGTGTGAATACTTAGTAAATTCCCAGAAAATATTGAGTTCCTAAAAACATTCTAGACATTGAATTTTAAAGCCACAAGAATTTGACTTGTGATACAAACTATAGTTCATATTGAATATTTTGTTAATTTATGTTCCAGTGAGGAATAATTTTGAATAACTGTCATTTATGATATACAATCTGAGTCGAACTCTGAATTTCATTGACAAAAAAATTGTCATAAAACTTATGGGGGGGGAACATTTCAATTTCAAGATATGCTTCATAAAATCATCTTAATTTTTACTTATAAATTAACTTGGCATTAATCTGCTTTGTTAATGCTCTTTTGAAGAGTGAGATGCTTTCATTAATTTAGTTTATGTCACAGCTCTGCAAATTTTAATAATTTTATTTAGAAGTTGTTAACCAGGTGAGAGAAAATCATTATAATTATATCCAAGTTGTCAATGTTTTGGCTCAGGACAGTAAGGAGTTTTTTTTTTTAGGAGTTTTTTATCCTATCAACTGTTTCACCCACTGCTTTGCCTTAAAATCCAAGCCAGTAACTTTTTTTCAGGATGGCAGTATTTGATTTCAGCTCCACAGAATCAAAGTGTCTTGTCTTTCATTTCCCTAGTGATGGTTCACTTGCAGTTGAAAGGTCAAGAATTGAGGGTATCAAATAATTGTAGTCTTTGGATATGTTACTTAAAATTGGTTTTTGTGGTAGTTGGCACAATAGGACATATTAGTAATTACAAATTTCCCCATTGTTTCCTGGAGTAATATATATTTGAAAACCTTAAGTCTTACAGAATATCCAGTCTTATAATTAATTTGTATTTGCTTTATTTTAAAGTAATTTTAGATGAATACAATCAGTTTAAATAACCTATTTCTTAAATGAAATTTTATATTGATATTGTTAATTCATAATATTTTAAAAGTCTTTGTGGGAAAAATACTTCTATGCTAATATAGATTAGAAGTATTAATTTTAATAGAGCATTCATAGTTCTTTACTTCAGTTATACAAATAGCTTTCCTTAATTCATTGCTGATGCTCACTACTTTATCAATGCCTTTTTTTACTGATGTTGAATACTGTGTGGTAATAATAGCACAGAGAATATAATGTGGTACCCATAAAGCACATTTTTAACTTCCAAGGCATTCACTAAAAGTTAGTAGTCTAGGCTGGGCCTGTGATCTTAGTGCAGTTCAATAGACCGAAGAATAAATCTAAATGAAATAAGAATTTTCTCCTTTTTAAAATGTGCATTTTTTTGGAATTATTCTTAAAAAAACAAGTAAAGCTGTAATCTTAATAAGAGACTACATGCTGTAGTAACTAGTAGTTTCCAATAATCACATTATCATTTAGCAAATGAGAATGAAAATTGAACTCTTCCATTGATGTGCTGCTCCATTATAAAATAATTTTAGGAAAGTTTGACAGAGTTTTGCTACAGTTGCTGTATGTATTTTTTCAAAAACTTTCTGTGTATCTGTGTGTGTGTAAACATCCTGTTTGATCACAAAGTTCTGGGTGGGAAAAGGCTTATTTGTGTTATGATCAGTTTCATGATCATAATGACAATGAGTTCATTCCTCTCATGTGTTGGTTTGCTGTGTTCAATTTCATAGAATCTTTGTTGCAGAGTTTGCATGTGGTGTGCACTTTAGTAGCCACTATCTCTTGACATTATAAATAATAGTTATGATCTTTTCTACTATATCCTGAAATTCCATCACTAAGATAGGTGATGATGAATAATTGCTATAGACTTTGATATTCTGATTCCAATACAGTATTTGACTTTTTCTTGTTTCGATGAAAGGCCTTCTATCTATATCATCCTGATACATATTCTTAAATCCAAGCAATGATAGAAAAAATGTTTGAATTTCATTTTACACTAATTTTATTATTTTTAAAAGTTTTAAGTATCAACAAGCTTTTTCTGCCAATTGTCAGATCAGACCTTTCCATTTTCAGGTGTTGGCAATTTGGCATTTGTATATTATTGCTGTTAGGGTCTTAGTTGTTTAAAATAGTAATTACTGGTGTATATAAACTTATATTAAACATAAAACAAAATAAAGGTGTGGTCAATACTTTGCAAATGTTATAGTTTACATAAAAATTGTAACTTCAGGCTAATTCTGAACTAATAATTGTTGACATACTAAAAATAATAAAATGTATTTTGCACAGGATGTGTAGATAGAAAGATCAAGCTTAGATGCATTGTAAGGTGACCTGACCTCAGTGTATGTTTATATGTTTTTATGGCCATCGTATTGTTAATCTTTTTTTCATAACACTTTGCATGACTCTGATGATCAAATATGGTTTTTAACACAAGATTTGAATTGAACCCTAAATGAACTCTCTGGTGGGGTGGTGATTTCTTTTTAGAGGCTGAACCAATCGAGTTCCTCAGAGTGCAGCACAGTTGATAACCCTGTGCCTGGAGAAGGAGAAGAGGCAGAGGCTGAGCCTGTGAATTCAGATGAGCCAGAGGCCTGTTTTACAGATGGTAAGAGAAAAATTGAGACCTCACTTAACATCCATTTGTTAATGTTTTGGCCTTGGTCTTAAAACCTAATGCTTACTTAGGATTGATGAATAAACTGTCATAAGACTCCATTCCATGCTGATTTAGTCATGGCTCTGTGACTAGGCTTCTGTTTCCACACTTATACTACTAATAGTAATTTACAATGGCAGTGTGTTATATGGTAAAGCACTGCTTGCCATTTTTGGAGAGAAGCAAGTAAGTGTGATACCTGATTAATAGAAATTTGTGTTTGCTCAAATTAGTACTATAAGCAAAACACATGGAGTTTCCTTTAGAAGTATTCCTATTAAAGGCATTTAAGGGTATCATCATGTATTTCAGCATCACAATAAATTTAAATTGACTAGAACCATGTAAGCTTAAATTTGTACAGATACACCAAGATTTCTTCAACACATTTTATGAATGACCCTGACTTAAAATTCTAAGATAACCAGAAAGAAGTTGGGTTTATCAAACAAATTATAGCTTTATATCAGGAAAGGACTTTAGAACAATTTAAACCCTCTGCGGAAAGTATTAATGCTAAACTATTTCAGACTGTAGGTGCTATCTTACTGAGATCAAACTTTACAAAGGCTATTTTAATCCTATAAAATACCAATGAGAATACTGAATATAATAACTGAGATATTCATAACTTTTCAAATTCATAACTCTAATTTGAGTCTAGTATATGAGATATTACAGAAACACATTTTCAATGAATTGTAGCCTCCAACACTGAAAATTTGCTGCAAACCAAAGTTTCAGTTGTGTAAGATGAATGCATTCTGAAAATAAAACAGGCAACAATATGATTATAGTTAGCAATACTGTATGGTATACTTAAATTCGCTGAAAGGGTAGATCTTAAATGTTTTTAATTACCCCTTCACCCCAAAAAAGAAGAAATTGGTAACTATGTGAAGAGATGGCAGTTTGATTAGCTTGACTGTGGTGATTATTTCACAGTGTAAACATAACATTTACAAGTTGTATACCTTAAAGTTTTACTTGTCAATTATCTCAATAAAGCTGGAAAAAATGGACAGAATAAGAGAAGAATGTTTGCATGCAAAGTCACTTTAATCATGTCTGACTCTTTGCAACCCTGTGAACCATAGCCCACCAGGCTTCTCTGTCCATGGGATTCTCCAGGCAAGAATACTGAAGTGGGTTGCCATGTCCTCCTCTAGGGGATCTTCCTGACCCAGGGATCAAACCCATGTCTCTCGTGTTTCCTGCATTGGCAAGCAAGTTGTTTACCACTAGCACCACCTGGGAACCCCAAAAGAAGAATAGGCAAAATCAGTCTACAAAGGTAGAAGTCAGAATAATACCTTTAGGAGGTACAGATTGGGAAAGGGTATGAGGATGATTTCTGGGTGCTTGAAAGTGTTATATCATGACCGACATGGCTATCACATGAGAATATTAATCTACATAGTTAAAACATATATACTATACTGTATGTACGTTCTCCTCAATAAGAAGTTAAATATATAGATAAATATATTTTTTAATGACCAGAACACCAAAGAAAATCTATGCGCAAACACACATCTCTTAGTTATATTATTTGAGCATCTGTGTTCCACTAGAGACTTCATACTCGTTGGACCTGCTGGGGTAAGAGGTTCAGCCTGATGAATTAAACAGGGCAACCAGTGAGCAGTGGCAGCCTTCAGCTTATCTACTTCTTTATCCTATCACCAAATAATCATTAAGGACTTTCTTTCCGCCAGGCCCAGGCCTGAGCGCTAGACAGAGCAGTTGGAAAAAAAAACCAAAACAATGTTTCTTACCCAAACGAAATATGTAAGCATAGAGTAGGTCAGATAAGTGATATGTGCTCTAGAGAAGTAAAATGGAAAGGAATACCAAGATCGAGGGGTAGAAGCCTACTACCATATAAGCAGAGTGGTCAGAGAAGGACTTTCTAAAAAGATAACATTTGATCAGAGACCTAAAGGAAATTGAAGCAGACATATGAAGGAAGACTGTTTCCAGCAGAGTAAGGAAGGCCTATGCCCTGAAGTGGGGATATGCACATTTGAAAACAAAATCAAGGGGCCAGTATGAGTCGAACAGATTGAGAGGTGGGAAGATTGGTAAAAGATGAGGTTAGAGGTGCAACAGAGGCCAGATCATAAGAGTATTGAAAAACAAGGATCTTATTTAGAAGTCTCATAACACCATTTTATAAGCAGATGGGTGGGTAGCAAGGGCAGAAGTTGGAAAACCTCTGGGTTTTCCTGCAGTAATCCAGGTGAGAAGGGATGGGAAATTAAAACTACTGTGTGTATGAGCTTCTGAATACATTTTGAAGTTAAAGCTGAAGGGATTTGCTGATGGATTAGATGTTGGGGGTTAAAAGCTTTCTTCTCTTTATAGAAGAGTCAAAGATGACTCCACGCTTGGGGCCTCAGAGAAATACATTCAGTCTCCACATGAAGAGTTAAAAATGAGCGGGCTTGGTTTGATGGGAAATCCACAGCTTGTTTACTTATAGTAGAAATGCCCCTGACCAAGTTGTGATTGGCTGACAAGTGTTGAGCTAGAACCAATGCCAGTTTAGAGCAGTATTTGGCCTTCAGAGGTTTTTGTTACCTGAAAGGCAGCAGAAAAATCAAAGCAAATGTGTGAGTTAAGTCAGAATAATTGTGTTTTGGTGAAGACAAACACTAACATGATTTTGTTGTTTATTTCTCAAATCCATTGAGCCTTTTCAGCTTCATAACTACCACTTTATCAGTTTACGCCTTATTCCTCTTCGCCTTTTTCTCCTCCCCCTTCTTCTATGTCTTTCCTTAGTTCTGCATCATTAGTGTTATAATTCATGACTTCAGCTTCCTTCCCCAGTTCTAGTACCATTCTTCACTACCCTTAATTCTAAATGTCTTTACAATCTGTATAATTATGAGCATGCCATGACTCTTTGGTTCTGCTTGGTTTTATATTGTACTCCTGTTGGATTTACAATTAGTAAATCACAAAATCAGGATTAGGGTGTGAGAAGGATACACTCTTCCTTAAAATGATGTGTTTTCTATTAATTTAGTAGGAGGCACTAACTCAGCTCCGCCCTCAAGTGTTCTGAGTTCAACTTCCTAAAAAATAGCTAATTACTAATCCTAACTTTGATAACACAATAACTAACTCTTTTGTGCCTATTTTGTCTCTTTTTTTTTTTAAGGAAAATGTGGACAAAACATTTGCTTTAAAGGATTTAGAATTTTTTAAGTGTTTAAAAATGAAATATTCTAATCAGTTTTTACATTAATTATACTGATCATGCTGTTGCATTTTTATTAATGGATAAACTGTCTTAGAAGTCGTCTGTGGTTTCATTTTTGTTTGAAAGCATTAGTTTAACATGATGAAACCCAATAGAGATTTTATGTAATAGCTCACAAGAGCAAACAAATGAAACCACCCAAAAGAAATAGCATTTACCCATGGGGACCCATTAAAATGTTTGAGAGGTTCTCTGTTATGTTTACATTTAATTAATCATCCTTTTTAAAAAGAAAGTGTGATACTGTTGCTAACCAGCTAGGTTGGAAACCTCTTGGGATATACCTTTCTATGAGGGCCAAACAGGCAGTGGTCTTGCACTCCTGTCTCAAAATAAGAGAGAAACTCTGTGAGGTATGATAAATCCTGAGGACAATATTTATGAACCTTCATCTCAGATAAAAAGTTTATCTGCTTTTCTAATTAGAATATATAGTGCCTTTTCCTGCCTGAATCATAAGAATAATATTTCTCTTCAATCTAAATACTGAAAAAAATATCTCAAATGTTAAAATCTTCTTGGGGCTTCATTGATGGCTCAGTGGTAAAGAATCCGCCTATCAATGCAGGAGATGCTGGAACTTAGAAGTTCCCAGAGAGAAAGGACAAGAACACATAAAATATACATGCTAGGAAAAATGTCAGAGACTTGGGGGAAAACATAGCTTGCTATATTTCTATAAAGCTGAAAATTATTTACTAAGAGAGGTACCTCCTATTAAGGTACTAAGGTACCTACTAAGAGGTACCTCCTATTAAGAATCAATGAACTAATTTCACTACAGAATCATAAAAGAAGCCATACAGTACATTGTCCAAAAAAATGTATTTCATTAAAATTCTAGCTATGTTGTTTCAGGATATACAGTTTATGATTATATGAAGTTATTACTTGATAGGCTCAATATTTTAATGAAATATATATTGCTTGATAGACAAGGAAATTATTTTTAAAGTACCTAAGCTTCTGAAACAAGTATCTGAAAGTACTGCTCATTTTTGCTCTCCCAATTCTACTTTCTCTTCAAATGAGGTTTTACATCTAAGATTTTTAAGAGAAGAATTAACTGTAATACCTCTTTTTAAATTCTTTAAGTAATTTTGATTGTTTATTCTTTAATTAATTTTAATTAAAAAATTTTCAATTGTTATTTCTCTAAGCCTCTCTGGGTCATAGCTCTGTTCACAGTCCTTCATGAAACTTTTTCCTCTCCAACTTTTCTTTTACTTCAGCCTCTTGTACATTTCCTCCACCCCCGACTCTGTCATTTCCTTCAGTTTTGTCTTCTTTCCCCCATCTCAGTGATGTACAGCTAAATGTTTAACAACCAGTTCTCCAAGAAAAAAAAAATGGTATACGTACTGCCATTAGTTTACCATATTTTGTTGATGTAAAGGATATGTGGTACACAATTTACAAATAATAATATAATCAACATCCTTCATTGACTATTCCATACAGCTGATTAGTTCTCACAGAGTGTGAATTTTGACAGTTTTTTAAATTTATAACAATGATTGTAATCGATGAACAAGAATAGTTTTAACCTGAAGGTTGCTTGGTATTTTCATTTATGTTAATCAGTAACATGAAACAGGCTTCCTGTCAGAACTTGACTCATTCATCAGTGATTTAAACAAATTTTTACTGAATCAGATAATAGGATTTGAGCAATGAAGGAGTATTTCCTCAAATTTTTCATGCTATTCACAGTGTAATGGCTGCAAACATACATACTTTTACTGCCTTATTAACATTTTCTCCCTCACTTTCTTAGTCTACTCTAGAAAATCAGCAAGGCTTAATTTACAGCATTTGATAACTTTTGTAAAAATTCCCACCATGGCTCATTTCTAACTGCTGGTGTCACTTTGCTGAATGTGGAGTTGAAAAGAGACACACAGTAGCCCAACAGTGTAACATATTTCTGCCAACCAGGTAGAATACATAAAGCTACTCAAGAGTGTAAATAATAGTAAATTGTAGTAAAATTATTAGAGTAGTATGTTTTTAGTATTTATTACCTTTTCTAAAGTTATACTTTTAGGTTTATACACTTTAATTTTTGATAACAGCTGCATTTAACAACAGGCTAGCAAAATTTTCCTGACAGTTTAACAATAAGTTGTCAAGACCAATGTGACTTAGTTCCAGCATACCTTTGAATTCTCTTAATATAGCTGTTCCAGAATGTTCCAGACTTGTCCCTTCTCTCTCTTACCCTAAACACTTTTTTTGTGTGGTCTTAACAGCTGTCCTGATCTCAGCTGACACATACATGCTAATGATTCCTTCACATTCTTTTCCAGTCCAGACTTTTCCTTTAAGCTTCACAGATTCACACCTTCAAATATCTACAGGACCTCTGTGTTTAGAAATTTCACAGGCATCTCAAACTCATTACCACCCCAAGCAGCTCCTGCTCCTGTGGTCTTCATTCATTGCTGACATCCTCACAATTGTCTGGGCTTCTCCCTTCTTCTTACATTCAATATCCAGTCAGCAAATCCACTGATTATACCAAATATGTCTTGATTCTGTTAGTGCTCTAGTTCCTAACAAGAGCTACCCTAATCTGTCTTTCTTGTTGGGGATACTGAACCAGCACCCTAAATGGTTTTCTAGCTCTGGGTTTTTCTTTGCACATCCCCATCCCTCTTTTTTCTTCTCTTCCAATTAATCCTTCACAGTTGTTGGAGATATCTATTTAAATTATGATCTTCCTATATAATTCTCTACCTACAACCCTTCACTTACCCTTCATTAGAATACAGGATATAGACCAAACTCCTTAAGGTGAGGGAAAGTACTTTCTATAATCTGACCAATTTCTCTGCCTCATCTCTCATCCGTGCCTCTTGTGTACACTTTGCTTTCCTCACAGTTCTGAAATGCTTATAATCTCTGTACACATTTTGCTGCCTATTGGCTGGAATTCCACCCAAACTCTTCTTGACTAACACTTTGATTTAATACACCTCTTCCAGAAAACCTCCTCTGACCTTACTTTTTCAACAAATTAAGCCAGGTTAGGTGAATGTCTTCCATGCTACCAAAAATAACCCCAGCATATCTGTCCTTTTCGTTGCTGTATCCTATTGTAGCCATTTATTTCTATATCTAACTGCCTAACTAAAAGCCAAAAATAGATTCCATAAGAAGAAACTATGTACACAGCTGAGTAAAATGCTTGCTCAATAAATGTTTGATAAGGATGTGAATAAATAAACCTAAACAACTTTAAATAAAAAATTCCTGTTTTTTTTAATAGAAGTATGTTTTACATCTGTGATTCCAAAGTCAAATTGGTTTTTAACTTACATTATTTGAAAGTTTTATCTGCATCTTATAATCAAGATCTCTTTCTTTTGAACTGAATTATAGGACTTTCCACTAATTTTTAAAATATTACTTATAATGCTGTTTCTCAAAAGTGCTTTTTTATAGAGGAGTTGAAGTAGCACCAGATTGTAGACTAAATTCACATCAAGAAGGTCATGAAATGCAATATTGTCTTGAGATTTATATTGATTCAGCAATCATTATTTACTGCTCATTGTGTATCAGGATTAGGATTGTTTTAGGGCTGCAATAATAAATAACAGTATGTGGTTTAAATACTGTAGAAGAGGTTGGTGAGGAACTAGGGAAATACAGAAAACACAAATATATCCAAGTTAGAAATTACCGACAAATATTAAGAAAATGCCATGGAGATTTAGGAGATAAGAAAAGGCAACATCCAAGTTAAAATTATTTGAAGCTTCAGATGTGCTTGAAATTATTTGGTTGAGGAATTATCATAGGGAGCACTTTGCATTAAATAATATTTCTTAAGTATTTTATTTATTCTGAATATCCAGATTTTACATGCGTATCTTTCTTGCCAGGTTGTGTACAGAGGTTCCCGTGCTGCCAAGTTAACATAGAATCAGGGAAAGGAAAAATCTGGTGGAACATCAGGAAAACCTGCTTCAGGATAGTTGAGCACAGTTGGTTTGAAAGCTTCATTGTTCTCATGATCTTGCTCAGCAGTGGTGCTCTGGTAAGTGATCTGACACCTAATGCTTAAATAGATGGTCATTATTTTTAATAAATGTGTTGGAAGTTAAAACTATTGTGGCATTTTTTTTTTTTACTTAAAAATTAATCCCTCTGGTCAGTAAAAGACAAAATGTTAGTTACCTTAGTTAATATTTACTACATGCCAGGCATTATTCTTACTCCTGGAATGATGTTTAAGACCCACGGACTTTTCTCAAGGAGATCAGAGAGCTTTAGGGAAGCAAGAGGCATGAGTGATACAGAACTGGGATATGTTTGTTAAGTGAAGTACATGCACATTTAATCTCTGGAGCAAGAAGGGTCATCTGCTTGGGAATTCAGAAAGGTAGATGATGTTTTGCAAAATCTAGAAAGATGAATAGGAATTTTCCAGCCAGGAAGATAGCCTGAGGGGAATGAAGCATAAAATAGCATGAGACATTTAGGAAACTGAAAATTGTCACACTGTAGAAAGTGATGTGGGAGGACGAGCAAATCCAGGGAAATGGTTGGTGACCAGAGATACTGTGAAAAAGATAGACAGTGTCAACTTAGGAAGCATCTTGCATAAAAGAAAATACTGTAGTTTTAGGATGAGAATGGGATAGGTCTCTCATTCTTATACATGCGCTAAGCACCTTCTATGAGGTTTTAAAAGGATATGGGAGAGTTAGAGGCTCCCTGAGCTTTTTCTTGACTTAGAGAAGGGAAGCAAGAAAGTCCAGAGGGCTTGACTTTAATTCTTGCATTTCAGTTCCATTGTCATTCAGAAACTCTGCCAATTGCTGCAACCTTCTCTCAGCATCTTAGTAGGTCTGTCCATTCTCTGTATCCCAACTTCTGTGTTTTCATCAATATTGGCAATAACCTTTTGTAAAAGTGCTAAGGATTATTTTTAAAGTATTGATAGAAAAACTTGGAATAAGCAGAATAAGAATGGCGCAAGTCCATAACTGTGGACAAGTAGACCACTGTTAACCACTAAAGATAAAGGTCCTTTTGCTTTAATTTTCTCCAACAAGGTGAATATTGCTTAAACTTGAAAGAGAAAATTCCAATCCTTTAGACCTGTATAGGTCAGCAGTCATTTTCAGTGGCTTCAGTTAACTCAATTCTTTAAGTCCATTCAAACTATTTCTCAAGGACTTTGTGGCTGTAACCGCAGTATCATCATCTACCTCTCACTGAAAGTTCTTGGGAAGTATCAACAGGTGTCACATTGATGGAATGAATATAACAGATATTAGTAGAGCTGAAGCTTTTAATGAATGATAAAGGGTTGGTGAAAAATTCAAAGAAAGAAACCATCTTCTGTGCTCTATAGCCCAATTAAGCTACAGCACCAATTCATTTCACAAACCTTTCCTGCTGTGTTCTGGACATACAGCTAGGTACTGAGAATCCATAAGCACATAAGAGCTGAAGGAGAGGGTCTAAATCCTACTGCTGGCTTGAAGAGTGCAGGGTGAGAGAAATTTATAGGAGGGGCTGACCCTGGAATCATGTCTTCAATTATTAGGACTTACTAGTTTGCAGGAGAGTATAGGGGTGTCAGATGAGTGGAAATCACCGAAAGAGTCAGAGATCTTGGTTCTTTTATAGGACTATAAGTAATTTCATTCTTTTCACCCTATTTCTCTTAACCTCTGGTGAGCAGCCACCTGTACTGATGAGAACTAAGTGTTACACCACGTGTGTGTTTGTGTGTTAAGTCACTTCAGTTGTGTCTGACTCTTTACAACCCTATCCACTGTGGCCCGGCTCGTCTGTCCATGAGATTCTCCAGGCAAGAATCTGGAGTGGATGAGAATGGGGTAGGTCTCTCATCCTGCAGGATGCCCTCCTGAAGGACTTTCCCAGCCCGGGGCTCAAACTGGCATCTCTTATGTCTACCTGCATTGGCAGGCAGGTTGGTGACTCAGTGGTTAAAAAAAAAAAATCCGCCTGCAATACGGTAGATGCAGGAGACCCAGGTTTGATTCCCTGGATTGGAAGATCTCCTGGCGGAGAAAATGGCAACCCACTCCAGTATTCTTGACTGGAGAATCCCATGGACAGAGGGCTATAGACCATGGGGTTGCAGAGTGGGACACAACTTAGCAACAGACTTTCTTTCTTTTTTTCCCTTTACCACTAGCGCCACCTGGGAAGCACACATGTTCCACTGTAAGTAAACCAGAAGAAAGTCGGCAGGCCCATAATAGTGTAATATGTCAGTGATCTCTTTATCAGAATTTCACTTCCTGTTTTGGTCTTGAATCATAAGCTTCAAGTTGTACCGAATTTAAATTTCAGTGTTATTTTCACAGGCTTTTGAAGATATATATATTGAAAAGAAAAAGACCATTAAGATCATCCTGGAGTATGCTGACAAGATCTTCACTTATATCTTCATTCTGGAAATGCTTCTAAAATGGGTAGCATATGGTTACAAAACCTATTTCACCAATGCCTGGTGTTGGCTGGATTTCTTGATTGTCGATGTAGGTACTTTTGAGTAAATTTTAAAGAGAGTTTATTCTTAATAATAAGGGGTCTGAAAAATCTCACTAATGTGTGTTAATCATATTTAGATAGGTGATATACAAAAAACAGTTTTTGCCAAGTTTTAGCTATACCTTACAGTTTTAGCTATACCTTATAATCACCTGTGTTCTTTCAGACTTCCTCTATGAGAAATTTGATTTTTGATATTTATACTAATGATTTCATATTTGATTTTTTTGATTCACCTTTTTAATATATATGTTACCTAGTTACTGCCTAGAAAAATGAATGGTAAGATGAATACTTTTGCAATATAATAGTTTTAAAGAAAGGCTAGCCAAAATAAGAAGTAACAATGTAGATCTTTTCTCTTAACGTGTAATTATGATTGAGTCTTCTAAAAATTATTACAAAATATTTAAGATCTTCACAAACTTCTTAAAATATTATGCCAAACTTTGCTCTTTTCATCTCTCAGTTTAAGAAAAAAAGGTTTACAAGCAGAGTTGAATTTATTTTTAGTTAATAAAGGGATATGGCTATTTAATAATGAATTTGTTTGTATTTGAAAATCTGAAGTGTGATTCTCCATATTTTGGAGTATGTAATATGCAGAATTCAGGAAAGTTATATAGCTTCACTTTGAGTTTTTTTTTAATATTTTGAAAAAAGCTAAATAAATTATATGTACATATAATATGTATAATGTATATGTGTAAAATGTTTTAATGATGCAACAGAGCAAAACTCCACTCAATATTCACAATATTCATGCACATCTAGACATGTGGATTTAGGGAGGAGTTGAGTTTTTTTTTATTATCTCAAAAACTGAGAAATTTATCTATCTAGCACAGTTGCTCTCAGTGTAATCCCTGAACCAAATCTTTTACATGTGTGGGTGGGAACTTGTCAGAGATGCAAATTCTCAGGACCCACTTAAGTCCTACTAAATCAGAAACAATGGTGTTGGGACCCAGCAAACTGTGGTAACAAACCCTTCAGATGATTCTGGTGCATATTCAGCTTTTAGAACCACTCATGATTTGATATTCAGAGGATGGACTTGTTTGATATCTGCAAGTTTCCTGATTATTTGAAACTTGTTTGACTGACCATTATGCATCAGGAGGGGCATATATCATGCTTATATACGTGTATACATAAGTAGAAAGATAAATATGTGCATATATGTAGATGTTCTTCTCAATTACAGACTGCACTTAATTTTCTCAGTAATGTGCATATATTCAATATAGTAGCAATCACTTAACAGTGGTTTGGAGATCAGGTTAACCATTTCCTTAGGGGTTATTCAGATTATAATAGACATTTTAAAACTTTCTTTTTGCTTATAAAAAAAATAACATTTATTATTCTAACTTAAAAGTACACCTATTTTTTAAACATTCTTGAGTGGAAACTAATGAACCTGAAAGATTAGATGAATTTAAAAGTGATATGAGGATTAGTTATGAATGCAGGATATATAGCATGAGGACCTAAAAAGAAACAGATATACTACATTTAGTGAGACATTTAGAAGTATAATAACTGTGTGAAAGCAAAACACTTCACCACACATCCTGATTCAAAAATCAGTTCTCTGTGTTTTTGATAGCAGCAGTAGTGAACTTATAAATGATAAATTTTTCTACTCCTTTAATAGTTAAACATAAGGAAGTTGACTCTTGAGTAGCTCCTAATCTTCCCTGAAAAATGAGTCTTTCAGTCATTGCTTAATCCCAATGAACTGCATTGCAGATATTGTTCTTAGTCATTGCCTCTTACTGGACACAGTGTGAAACAATGGATATTTTAAATGGATCTTATTCAAAGACTGAATGCATTTATAGTTCCAGATTTCAGGTCATTGAGGAGTTCATTGTTGCTTACCAAAATGTGTATTGATTTTCTCTCCATGTTCTTTCTTCTGAGATAACTTACAATAAGAACACAGATTTCTGTTGGACACTGGTTATGGTAATTGTGGAGGGTCATCTAACATGACGAAGTTCATGTATGTCTGTATTGATTGTGAAGCCAGTGAGATCACCTACTAGTGAGCTGTCTTTGGTACAATTGAGATTTTGTCCCACAAATTATTTCTGGGAATCTTTGCTGCTGATTCTGAGAAATGGTAGGGCAGAAAAATCTTGTAGAAAATTTGCCTCATCTCAAAACCATAAGTCTTCAGAATACTTTTGAATAAGGTCTATCAGTTCAATTCAGTTCAGTCACTCAGTCATGTCCAACTCTTTGCGACCCCATGAACCGCAGCACACCAGGCCTCCCTGTCCATCACCAACTCCCAGAGTCCACCAAACCCATGTCCATTGAGTTGGTGATGCCATCCAACCATCATCCTCTGTCGTCCCCTTCTCCTCCTGCCCTCAATCTTTCCCAGCATCGGGGTCTTTTCAAATGACTCAGCTCTTCGCATCAGGTGGCCAAAGGACTGGAGTTTTAGCTTCAACATAAGGTCTATACTAGGACATAACCTTGGCTGAGTGAATGCCACACTCTTTTGACTTAGCTTTAGAATCACACAGTTCATTATTGTTGTTGTTCAGTCACTAAGTCATGTCTGACTCTTTGTGATCCCATAGACTGTAGCATGTCAGGCTCTTCTGTCCTCCATTATTTCCCAGAGTTTGCTCAAACTCATGTCCCTTGAGTTGGTGATGCTGTCTAACCCCCTTCTCCTTTTGCCTTCAGTCTTTCCCAGCATTAGGGTCTTTTCCAGTGAGTTGGCTCTTCACATCAGGTGGCCAAAGTATTGGAGCTTCAGTTTCAGCAACAGTACTTCCAATGAATATTCAGGGTTGATTTTCTTTAGGATTGACTAGCTTGATCTCCTTGCTGTCCAAGTGACTCTCAAAAGTATTCTTTAGCACCACAATTTGAAAGCATTAGTTCTTCTGCACTCAGCCCTCTTTGTGGTCCAACTCTCACCTATAGCTTTGACTATACGGACATTTGTCTGCAAAGTGATGTCTCTGCTTTTTAATATGCTGTCTAGGTTGGTCATAGCTTTTCTTCCAAGGAGCAAGCATCTTTTAATTTCATGGCTGCAGTCACTATCCACAGTGATTTTGAAGCCTAAGCAAATAACCTGGACTTTATTCCAATTGAAATTTTGATAGTTGATTTACTTAAATGTCCAGAATTAATAAGCAAGTGAAAAACCTACAAAAGTATGAAAAGCATATGTGATTTTATTATTCAGATACAAGAATAACTTACTTTCCTTCTATTATTTCTTTTTTTCTGGTTAACTTTCCTATAAATCTATTTCCTTAAAAAGGCATCTATTTTATCCAATTTTTAGACAGTTAGTAGATAACTTTATCTATAAATCATGTTGTTCTTGTTAAGTTACTCTTCAGTTCAGTTCTGTCGTTCAGTTGTGTTCAACTCTTTGCGACTCCATGGACTGCAGCACGCCAGGCCTCCCTGTCCAACACCAACTCCCGGAGTTTACTCAAACTCATGTCCATTGAGTCAATGATGCCATCCAACCATCTCATCCTCTGTTGTCCGCTTCTCCTCATGCCTTCAATCTTTCCCAGCATCAGGGTCTTTTCCAATGAGTCAGTTCTTCACATCAGGTGGCCAAAGTATTGGAGTTTCAGCTTCAACATCAGTCCTTCCAATGAACATTCAGGACTGATTTCCTTTAGAATAGACTGGTTGGATCTCCTTGCAGTCCAAGGGATTCTCAAGAGTCTTCTCCAACACCACAGTTCAAAAGCATCAATTCTTAGGCGCTCAGCTTTCTTTATAGTCCAACTCTCACATCCATACATGACCACTGGAAAAACCATAGCCATGACTAGATGGACCTTTGTTGGTTGCTCTTGGTAATCTTTAAAATTAACTTGTTCTCATCATGCTTTATTATTTAATTGGAATGATTAAGTGAAATTTTTGATTAACGAAAATTTTCTTTTTTGTAGGTTTCTTTGGTTACATTAGTTGCAAACACTCTTGGCTACTCAGATCTTGGTCCCATTAAATCCCTTCGGACACTTAGAGCTTTAAGACCTCTGAGAGCTTTATCTAGATTTGAAGGAATGAGGGTAAGAAAATAGTAAACTTTCTAATATATTCATATGTCTTAATAGAGTATGAAATATGAAAAATGGGTAATTAGGAATTATGGACTGTTTATACACATGTGCATATATATATACATATGTATGATCTGTTTATGTAAATAAATGTGTATATATGTGCATATACACACAATATTTCAATGCATATTGTTTAACAAAGAGTAAATGAAATATAATAATGCCTCCTTCATATTATATTGTTAGGCAGTGACTCAAATAAGTTACTTTTCCCTTCCTAAATGAAAACCTTTCCTATGCTAGGAAACGCAAATAAAAGGGACACTGTTAGTCCTGACAGCATCTCTCATATACAAGTCATGAAGAACTTGCCTGTATCAGGTGCTTAAATAATATTTTTTAAGGAATCATTCTGGGTAGGAAGCATAAGAAAAGACAGAGAAGTAGCATCAGGCATCACTTTAAATTTCACTCTTGAAATATATAGTTCACTGAAAATGGAAATATCTCCAAATTATATTTGAGAAAATGGAAGTGCTGAGTTAATTTAATTTGCACTAGACTGTATAGTGCCTGAAAATTGATTTGTTTTTCAGAAACAAACCGGGTGAGATAAATAACGACTACCAGAACCCCAGCTTTAGGGCTGTATTAAACCAGCAACTTCTTCACAAAATACACAGAGGATAAGAGCACAGTGGCTTTATTTTCTCTGAGTCCATATCCTCATTTGTTGCTACTCCCCTCAGATTTCTTCTTCTCCAGATATGTTCCTGCTTTCTCATGCCTCCATTCTCTTGGCTGGAATGCTTCTCCTTCCCCTGTCTCAACTCTAACTCATCAACATAGCAAATTCCTACTTATCCTTTAGATCTAAATTTAAATGTGCCTTGTCTGTCCAGGTATAACTGGGCATCCTTCCTATATGTTTAAACACATAAAATCCTTATTATATAATTGCATCATACATATTTATCTGACTGCCTCTCTGTAGTCTCTGAACAATTTAACATGCAGATTAGTCTAGCTCTCTGCTTCTCTAAATGTAGTCAGCATCATTTGAAAACTTACTAGAAGTGCAAATTCCTGATTCCACCCTAGATATGCGGAATGATGAACTCTAGAGTGGGGCTCAGAAATCTGAAGCCTCTGGTGAGTGTTAGACGTCTTTTAGTCTAGCAGATCTTCATTGTTATTCCTGCTAACCTAATTAAGACTATAACCTCAATTAGTTAGTGTATCCAGTGCATATTGTTCCAATGTATATGAGACATCGTGATTATACAAAAAGAATTTTTCATAAGTAAAATTCAATTCCTGTTTGTCATGTAAGAACTGAAAAATTACATTTAATTTTATATGCAAAGGTAATATTGGAATTGACATTAATTTTGCTTTTTGAACATGAGTACATAGAACATTGCCATCAGAACTTCTCACTGATCCTTGGACTCAAGCGGAGCACATATGACATTTTCATGATCAAGGAATATACTTTCACCAACAAAACTACTTCCCTCAGTGATTAAGCCACCCCATTATTTTACCCTGTTCTTTGTTCTTCATCTGTAATACAAATGAATTGGATGAAGGAGAATGTTTTAATATATTTGGAGTGAAAAATGTATCTATTTAGTTTATTAGCCAGGCAAAAAAGGGGATGTTTCTTCACAGTGCAGGGTCATTTTTAAGAATAGATATGATTGGAGACATTTCACAGTTAGCTTCTTTTGAAAAGACTTGAGGTTCTTGAACTTACTGACTTCTCCAAATGGCTTCTCATCAGAACAACATATATCCATCTCCCTCAGAGACCCATCATAATGTGCATTCTTTCAGCAAACATTTTCTTTTTTTTTTCTCTTTTTTTCTTTTTATTTTTTTTTTCATTTATTTTTATTAGTTGGAGGCTAATTACTTCACAGCATTGCAGTGGGTTTTGTCATACATTGACATAAATCAGCCATGGAGTTACATGTGTCCCCCATCCTGATCCCCCCTCCCACCTCCCTCTCCATCCCATCCCTCTGGGTCTTCCCAGTGCACCAGCCCCGAGCACTTGTCTCATGCATCCCACCTGGGCTGGTGATCTGTTTCACTATAGATAATATACATGCTGTTCTCTCGAAACATCCCACCCTCGCCTTCTCCCACAGAGTCCAAAAGTCTGTTCTGTACATCTGTGTCTCTTTTTCTGTTTTGCATATAGGGTTATCATTACCATCTTTCTAAATTCCATATATATATGTTAGTATTCAGCAAACATTTTCAATGCCAACTGTGTGTCAAATTTTGTACTATAAAACTATGATGGTAAATAGACCCCAGCCTCCCAGGAGTGAGTCAGGACAATGTCCATGGAGAGGTAAACAGGGGGATGTTAGTTATTCTGTGGCATCTGCTATAAACAGCAAGCACCCAGTGCTGCAGAAGTGAAGATGAAGTGGCTGCCTGGGGAGACCTGGGAGGGGCTTCATAAGGAGGTGGCCTTGGAGCCATGACTGAAAGAATGGGCCCTAGCTCCCAGGCAGGTGGGCATTCCAGGCAGAGGTGCAATTTGGTAGAGAAGGACAGAGTTGAATAGGCAAGGTGTGTTTGAGCAGCAACTAGAAGGATCAGCATGCCTAGGTGATAAGCATAGTGGGAGGGCAAAGGAAATGTGGGTGAAAATGTAGGTTTGAATAATAGCTGACCACTTTGAACTCTCTAATCCTGTTCTTCCTAACCCTTTTGGGGGTGATGTACACTATAAAACTCTTGTGAAAGTATAAATCATCTCTATAAACAAAGCGTGCCCATAATACTTTCATATAATCTCATGCCCCCATGGAGCCTCTACAGGTCCATGAATCGCAGGGTAGTAACTATAGTTCTGGATCAGGAGTCAACAACCAAAGCCCGCCGGCTGGATGCCTGCTTTATAAAGGAAGTTTCTTTGGATCACATTGCATTCTTCAGTCACTAAGTTGTGTCTGACTCTTTGTATAACCCCATGGACTGTAGCCCACCAGGCTTCTCTGTCCGTGGGGTTTTTCCAGGCAACAATACTGGAATGGGTTGCCATTTCCTTCCCCAAGGGATCTTCTGAACCCAGGGATCGAAACTGTGACTCCTGCATTGGCAGGCGGATTCTTTACCACTGAGCCACCTGGGAAGCCCCGTTGGATCACAGCCACACCCATTGGTTTATGTGTGATTTGTTGCTACAATGGCAGAATGGAATAGTGGCAACAGAGATCATACAACCCGCAAAGCCTAAAAACATTTAAGACAATGTTTGCCAACTCCTGCTCTAGACAGTCTCAAAAGTAGTCAGGGATCCTTGATGTCTTCCCTTTTGGAAACGTCTTGAGAGCCTGCTCAACATATTGCAGAAAAAGAGAGAACATATGCTTTTTACTTAACAAGCTGGTCTTTAATGCATTTGTCCACAAATTCAGGGTAGAGTTTAAGAAGATAATAAGTTTGGAAAGATGAGGTAATTAAGAAAATCTGGAGAGTGATATATGTTACAGTAGTTGCCATGCAGTGGAAAGAGGCATTGGTGATAAGTGGTAGTAGAAATGGCTGAAAAGCAGAAATGAACGGAGCATGAAAGATAAACTGTATTGCATCTTTGTGTTAGCTGAGACTAGCTCTATCTATATTTAGCCAAGGCTTATATGGAAGGTGCTTTTTACAGTTAGAATAATAAATTTGAAAAGATTGCTCTCATTCTGCAGATGAGGAAACAGGGATCCTAAGGTCTTAAGTATATTTATGTATCACATAACTAGTGTCCATTCATGCTAAGTCATTTCAGTTGTGTCCAACTCTTTGCGACCTTATGGACTGTAGCCCACCAGGTTCCTCTGTCCATGGAATTCTCCAGGCAAGAATACAGGAGTGGGATGCCATGCCCTCCTCCAGAAGATCTTCCTGACTTAGGGATCGAACCTGAGTTTCTTACATCTCCTACATTGGCAGATGGGTTCTTTACCACTAGTACCCCCTGGGAAGCCCCATCACATAAATAGCAGCACCAATTAAATCTAAGGGGTTCAAACCATAAAAAGATTCCCAGTCTTAATTCCAGCTTATATATAGTAATGGTTTACATGGAAGAATTTTAACACTGGTAATTCTAGGACTATGAACCTTTAAATGTACATTTTGCTTATTTAATAATTTATATTTATAAATTTCTTTCTTTTCTAGAGCATGCAGATTTTATGACTTCACCTTACATACATCAGGTTTTTGGTTTATTCTTTTATTTATTTTATTTAAACTGTCATTTAATCTTAGTAAATTGTTTCATTTTGTTGCTAATAGTTTCACTGTGTGATCCTCATGTATTTTTGTAAACTCATTGATCACGGGGCTCCTGTCTCATTTTGTCCTGCTTAGCACACTGCTGAGCATATAGTAGGCATTCAATAAGTCTTATGTCTTAAACATGTAAGGGTAGCTTTTCTAACTTTTTAAATTCTGCATAATGTTTCATTAATGTTGCCTATTTAACATTCTTACTGGTCCTAATCATTATTTTCTTTCTTTTGAATGCTAGGTGGTTGTGAATGCACTCATTGGTGCAATTCCTTCTATCATGAATGTGCTACTTGTGTGTCTCATATTCTGGCTGATATTTAGCATCATGGGAGTAAATTTGTTTGCTGGCAAGTTTTATGAGTGTATTAACACCACAGATGGATTGCGGTTTCCTACAAATGAAGTTGAAAATCGTTCTGCCTGTCTTGCACTTATGAATGTTAGTCAAAATGTGCGATGGAAAAACCTGAAAGTGAACTTTGATAATGTTGGACTTGGTTACCTGTCTCTGCTTCAAGTTGTAAGTGGCTCATTTTAGTGCACATCAGATGGAGGAGCTGTCATTATCATATAGCTATTAACTAAAAATTAAAGATAGAGTACTGTGTGACTTAAAAACCAGAAGTGGTCTTTCTTAGAACATGTGCGTATAAACATGAGTTAAGAAGCATGGCCTCTATTGCGCTGCTCTATGGGTGATTAATCCATAATCACCTTTTCAGAGTCCCCTGACCCCCCCTGCCGTTGTGCCTTCTGAATATTGCTCCAAAAATGAATAGTCATTTTTTGGACTACTACCTTCACACTACAAGGAAATCAGAAGGCCTTGCCACTGGTACAGAAAATCCTTAAGATATGGAGAAAAATTACTTCTTTCCTTAGTCGTAAAACTCCCCACCCCCTCTGGAAAAATAAAAGTTCAGGTACAAAACTCACAAGCAATTCTAACAACCTGGAAATTCAGCAGGACTGAGATTTAGAATGTGACTTGGCAATGTGCCCCCCCTCTTTTTCCTCTTGACACAGCATCTTTATGTTAAGTTGATATCTTGAAATATAATGGGTTCTCTTTATCCATGGCTTTGCATCTGCATGATGCAAGGGCTTCAGCATGGGCAGATTTTGGTGTCTTCAGGGAGTGCCCTGGAACCAGTACCCCCTGCATGTACCAAGGGATGACTCTATAGTTCACCAACTTAATATTACTTAATAAATATTGTAACATTAAATACACTTACTCATTTATGGCTATTTTAGAGTATGAGCTTCACTTTCAGATTCTATTAATGTTATATTTACAGGCAACGTTTAAGGGATGGATGGATATTATGTATGCAGCAGTTGATTCTGTTAACGTAAGTATTGGTAAATAACACCGAACTCTACAATTTTGAAAAGCTTCTTTGTCTAGTTAGACTATTTTCAAACAGCAGTTCCAAGAAGCTCTTGGTCCGTGCACACACACTGAAGAACATCCAGGTGGTAGTAGCCTCAGTTACCTGTGTGGCATTTGGAAGCAGAGCTTGACTTAAATTCTGTGACTCTGCTGTATCAGGCAAGCTTGCATCTGACTTGCAGCAAGCCACTTTATCTCTCATAGCCTGTTTATTGATCTATAAGAAGAAAACAATTCACTACTACCTCATGGGGCTATTCTCTGGATCCAGCTAGAAAATGTAAATAGAGAACTTGGCTCAGCCTGGCAGTAATGTGTTCAGTTAATATTTATCAAAATAAAAATGAAATAGCATGTTTTATTTATCAGTCTTACTGCTTTTATATTTTAAAGTGCCTTGGAAGAGTTAATGTGAAATAAGTCTCACACTAAGGAATTTTGAAAACTACTGACTAGTTTATATTATCACAAAAGCCAGTGAAGATATTTCTGTAATCAAATTAAAAAAGGCAAAATTTATATAAATATATCAACTCCTTTACTGTTTTTTCTGGAAATAAATAACATGGATTGTAATTTACTTACTACATTGTCCTATAGTCCAAGAAGGTGGATAAGCCCTTTGTAGTTATTTGAAAATTATATTTAGTATTGAATAAATGTTTAAGAATGATTATGTTGAACTTTGACAACACTATGGCTTCTATAAAGCCACATTTACCTAAGATTGCACTATTTGAATTTCCTTGTCAGAGCATGTGAGAAAGAAAATGATGAATTTATTGTCAACATACTGTTAACTTTGTTAATTCCATAGGTAGACAAGCAGCCCATTTATGAATACAACCTCTACATGTATATTTATTTTGTCATCTTCATCATCTTCGGGTCATTCTTCACTTTGAACTTGTTCATTGGTGTCATCATAGATAATTTCAACCAACAGAAAAAGAAGATAAGTATTTCAAGTTTATGTCATTGCCCTGAAAGACATGAACATTATTTTTCCAAAATATATAATGTGAAATTTAATGTCAATTACTTCATTAGAATTTCATTAATTTTCCAAATAGTTTTTAGTATCCACTGATAGATATGCTTAATCTCATTCATCTCTGCACAGAAAATAATCATCCTGCAATGCCTGAGACCTGGGTTCGATTCCTGGGTCGGGAAGATCCCCTGGAGATGGAAATGGCAACCAACTCCAGTATTCTTGCCTGGAGAATCCCATGGACAGAGGAGCCTGACAAGGCTACAGTCCATGGGTCACAAGAGCTAGACACGACTTAGCTACTAAATGACCACAAAGTCCTAATTATTTTTAAGCAGTACATCAACTACTCAGGTTTCCCCCCCTCCCCAGTGTTCCCTGTGGAGACTTAAGGAAACGCAGTGCACTAATTATTTATTCAAAATGCTTTTCATAAATAGTTCCTATATTCTGTTCTAAGCCATAGAGGGATTATTGTTATAGACTTTGTCTTGTAAATGAGGAAAGGCACAGAGATTTTGAGTGATTTACCAAAATTATGCACCTGGTAAGGGATAGGATTTTAATAGTAGTTGATCTCATATACTTTGTATATTATTTAGGCCCCTTTCTACCCCCCAAATACGATAATATGATATACTGATAAATGCAATAAGAAGTTAACAAGAAATATAAATAGAGGAAAGCTAGATATAGCTAAAAAATTTTTATGATATATGTGACAATTGAGCATGCATTGGAAGATGGATGAAAAGACACATAGCAGCAGGGAGGCAAAAGGATAAGTAGTCCATAGCAGGTCAGAGATATGTCTGAGCACATGCACAGTAATAATAAGGAGGCAGCAATCCGGGCAAAAATACCAGTCCATCCAGTTGGATGTAGTTTTGAGGAAAGAAATAGTAAGAGGTCTTGATTTGCTTAAGCACAGATCTGAAAAGCCATATTAGATATTTTTCACTAGGAGCTGATGTCATTGAAGTATTTTGAGCAAGGAAGAACATACAAGCAGGACATACACATTTATTAAAATTTGATGACATGTCTGATCCTGTGTAAAGTACTTTACACAGTAATCTTCATCACATTCTAAAAGTGTAGAGGGCATAGTATCCCCATTTCACCTCTCAGAGGGGTTATGTGCCTTGCACATGATCGGATAGCCCAGAAGTAGCTGCATCGTAGATTCAACTCTGAGGTCTCTTTTCCCAGAATTTATGAAAATGCAGCTTTAATTATAAAAATTAATCTATCAGTGATGCAGAGAATGACTGCGAGAGCCCAAAGACTAGGTTAGACTCTGCTTTACCTGCTACCTAGACCACAGTTCATTCTCCAAATCAGTCATTTGCAGCACTAGAGAGTGTGTGTGTGTGTGTGCGAAGTCGCTTCAGTCACGTCCGACTCTTTGCGTAGGCTCCGCTGTCCATGTGATTCTCCAGGCAAGAATACTGGAGTGGGTTGCCGTACCCTTCTCCAGGGGATCCTCCCAACCCAGGGGTGGAATCCCGTGTCATGTCTCTTGCATTGGCAGGAGGGTTCTTCACCACTAGTGCCACCTGGGAAGCCCACTAGAGAATACGGGATACATTCAATTAAGAGATTTTAGCGGGTAGGATCTACAGTATTATTTGTGCTTTGCAGGAGGAAAAATTGTCTATGAAGTCTCAGTTTTCTCAAAGTAAACTGAGTTAATGTGGATGTAGCACCACCCACAGGAAAAGAGACTTTAGAAAGATGAGGTAGAGAGTAACGAGAGGAAATGATTTCAGGTACTGGCTTAACAGATGTACCTGCAATGAAATGGCATTCATGATGTGATTGACTATTCATGGGTGAAGGAAAATGTAGTAAATATTGTGTTGTTTATGTTTACATTCTGAATAGAGGTGTTTATTTTTTAAAGAATTTTTTAAATTCCTTGTTCCATTCTAACATTTTATATCTGACAGTCAAAGTTAGTATTATCATATATTCATGCCTTTATGCAGAGAATCTTAAATAATTAGTAATCTTGAAAAAAATTTTATAAATTATACCTTCATTTCCAATGTGCTTATTTTTCCTACTTTAGTCATTATATATGTGTACCTGTGATATATAAGCTGCTGCTGCTGCTGCTGCTAAGTCGCTTCAGTCGTGTCCGACTCTGTGCGACTCCACAGACGGCAGCCCACCAGGCTCCCCCGTCCCTGGGATTCTCCAGGCAAGAATATTGGAGTGGGTTGCCATTTCCTTCTCCAGGGGATCTTCCAACCCAGGGATCAAACCCAGGTCTCCTGCATTGCAGGGAGACTCTTTACCAACTGAGCCACCAGGGAAGCCAATTACTCTCGTTCAGTTCAGTTCAGTCGCTCAGTCGTGTCCGACTCTTTGCGACCCCATGAATCCCAGCACGCCAGGCCTCCCTGTCCACCACCAACTACTGGAGTCTACTCAAACTCATGTCCATCAAGTCAGTGATGCCAGCCAGCCATCTCATCCTCTGTCGTCCCCTTCTCCTCCTGCCCCCAATCCCTCCCAGCATCAGGGTCTTTTCCAATGAGTCACCTTTTTGCATGTGGTGGCCAGAGTATTGGAGTTTCAGCTTCAACATCAGTCCTTCCAATGAACACCCAGGACTGATCTCCTTTAGGATGGACTGGTTGGACCTCCTTGTAGTCCAAGGGGCTCTCAAGAGTCTTCTCCAACACCACAGTTCAAAAGCATCAATTCTTCAGCGCTCAGCATTCTTTATAGTCCATCTCTCACATCCATACATGATCACTGGAAAAACCATAGCCTTGACTAGACTAGCCTTTGTTGGCAAAGTAATGTCTCTGCTTTTTAATAAGCTGTCTAGGTTGGTCATAACTTTCCTTCCAAAGAGTAAGCGTCTTTTAATTTCATGGCTGCAGTGACCACCTGTAGTGATTTTGGAGCCCAAAAAAGTAAAGTCTGACACTATCTCCACTATTTCCCCATCTATTTCCCATGAAGTGATGGGACCAGATGCCATGATCTTAGTTTTCTGAATGTTGAGCTTTAAGCCAACTTTTTCACTCTCCTCTTTCACTTTCATCAAGAGACTTTTTAGTTCATCTTCACTGTCTGCCATAAGGGTGGTGTCATCTGCATATCTGAGGTTATTGATATTTCTCCCAGCAATCTTGATTCCAGCTTGTGCTTCTTCCAGCCCAGCGTTTCTCATGGTGTACTCTGCATATAAGTTAAACAAGCAGGGTGACAATATACAGCCTTGACGTCCTCCTTTTCCTATTTGGAACCAGTCTGTTGTTCCGTGTCCAGTTCTAGCTGTTGCTTCCTGACCTGCATACAGGTTTCTCAAGAGGCAGGTCAGGTGGTCTGGTATTCCCATCTCTTTCAGAATTTTCCACAGTTTATTGTGATCCATACAGTCAAAGGCTTTGGCATAGTCAATAAAGCAGAAATAGATGTTTTTCTGGAACTCTCTTGCTTTTTTTATGATCCAGAGGATGTTGGCAATTTGATCTCTGGATCCTCTGCCTTTTCTAAAACCAGCTTGAACATCTGGAAGTTCACAGTTCATGTATTGCTGAAGCCTGGCTTGGATAATTTTGAGCATTACTTTACTAGTGTGTGAGATGAGTGCAATTGTGCGGTAGTTTGAGCATTTTGGGGTATTGCCTTTCTTTGGAATTGGAATGAAAACTGACCTTTTCCAGTCCTGTGGCCACTGCTGAGTTTTCCAAATTTGCTGGCATATTGAGTGCAGCACCTTCACAGCATCATCTTTCAGGATTTGAAATAGCTCAACTGGAATTCCATCACCTCTTGTAGTGTGAGATTATTCAACCTTAAAGAGATTTAAAAACTTGCCCAAGGGCAACAGAGATGGGAATTGAACAAAGATAATCTTACAAAACTGGGCTCTTAACTACTATGCAATACATCTTTGACATAGCATGTAAAGACCAGCCTGATTTACAGAATGTCTGCCACCTAGCTTTTAAAGGGATGCATTTCACAAGATCTTTATAAGCCATGGTTAAATAAAATGACAACACAAGTTTCTCTACTGGAGTGTTGTGCAATCTCCTCTTAGCTTCATCCAGCTCTTCATTATACTGACAACCAGGGTATCATCAAGGGAAGACAAGATCTGTAATTACAAGTTATTAATAGGCTGTGATATTCAACCCTTGGGCTCCTCAGGTGGCACTAGTGGTAAAGAGCTTGCCTGTCAGTTTAGGAGACATAAGATACACAGGTTTGATCCCTGGGTTGGGGAGATCCCTTGGAGGAGGGCATGGCAATCCACTCTAGTATTCTTGCCCCAAGAATCCCATGAAGAGAGGAGCCTGGCAGGCTACAGTCCACGGGGTCACAAAGAGTTGGACATGACTGAAGCAACTTAGCATGTACTCACTTTCAGCCCTCATCACTAGACGATAAAGGGTTTGGGTTTCTCTTGACATTATCATGAAAGTTCTCTCTTGTATATCAGTAGATCAGATGAATACCAAAGTTACACAACGACTGCTTATCAATTAGAGGAGATGTAAATTAAAACACATAAGACAGAAAGGGAAGACTGGTTTTCATTAGGTATTTGATAGATAAGAAAATGCAATCCAGGGAAACCATATCCAGATCACCTTTAACTTCAGGACCATACAAGTTAAGTAAAGATTTCAGAACTATAAATTTCCCCCAAAATTCCTAATTACATGGATTGTGCTAATTTATGCCATAACTAAAAATTTATATTGCAGGTCAATGAGGAATGTGCATGAATCTGTATAAATTGTAGATAATTGTAAGAAATCAAAAGTTTAAAACAATAGGCAAAACTTCTAGGTCTCCTGTGTGAGACTTAGACTTCTACAGTGAAGAAGAGATCAAAAACTTTATTTAGATGTTAGTTTATTTACTATTGAATCTTAAATGTTGTATATTCAATTAGAAAGTCCTTCAAGTCAAAAACCCTGGATTATTGATAATTTTCTCAACATCTAAAACTCTATTATGTATATTGTTTATACCCAATAAAGTGTTTATGTTGAAATTCCTTTATCTGGAATTAAAGAGGTAATGAAAGATTTTTTAGTAAATAAGTGAATAAATGTATTATGTGTATACCAAATATATTTGTGTGTGTACACTGTTTATCAATGTGTTATAATAACATATATAGTATATTCATTTTTCTGCTAAAGGAATATGGTATAATAAAATGAATACAAGTGAATACAAAAATATTATTACTTTTTGCCCCTACTATTTATGAGTCAGTATGGCTAATAAGTAAACATTAGCCAACTTATTATTCACTACTTTTGTTTCTTATCACTTTTCCTGATATATTTGTTATTTAGCAATGAAATGCCTGATGAGACAAGTAGCAGATAAAATGAGATACCAGCATATCATTTAAAACAAAACAAGTTAGGCTACTAAAATATAATTGAGCCAATTATTATTTCATGTAATCCATATATTTTATATATTATGCACATTACATTACATACAAAGAGTCATGTTCCTACGTGTAGGTAATCCTTTGATTTATAGCTACCTTGCACGTAATCAGATACATTTCATTTCATTTCATTGAAGTGTAATTAACATATAACAGTGTATTAGTTCCAGATGGACAATATAATAGGGCTTCCCGGGTGTACTAGTGGTAAAGAACCGCCTGTTAATGCAGGAGACATAACAGATGCTGGTTAGATCCTGGGTTGGGAAGATCCCCTGAAAGAGGAAATGGCAACCCACTTTGCTGTTCTTGCATGGAAAATCCTGTAGACAGAGGAGCCTGGCAGGCTGCAGTCCATAGGGTCACACACAGTCAGACACAACTAAAGTGACTTAGCAAACAGCATGTACAATATAATGATATCGTATTTGCATACATTGTGAAATGATTACCATAAAACTTTAGTTGCATGTGTCACCATCTGTCACCAGAAGTATGGAACACTTTACAAGAGCCATGCTTTACAGGAGCCATACTAATCTCTATATGGTTCCAATTTTAATATATGTGCTACTGAAGTGAAAACACATTTCATTTCTGTATGAATACATTTTTAACCTGAATAATCACCTGAAGGAATATCTGGAAAATGATTCTGGTTTTAACTAGATCTATTTTTTATTTCTTTACCTTGGAGGTCAAGATATCTTTATGACAGAAGAACAGAAGAAATATTATAATGCGATGAAAAAGCTGGGATCCAAGAAACCACAAAAGCCAATACCTCGGCCAGGGGTAAAAATATTATATTTAGCATGTAAATTCTAAAATTATTTTAATTCATCTTTAATATATAATTATTGCTTAATCATGAATGCATAATTTTAATATTTTAAAGAAAAGTCCTTATAAAACTGAATATATGTATTTTGAACACTATCACAGCTCTTAATATTCTTTGGTATATTTTCTTTTTCTATGAAAATGAAAAAATAATTTTATATGCTTTTACCTCTACAGTAGCTGTACATCTTACTATTAGTACAAATGGTCTATAGAGAATCAAAATAAAATGTACTTTTGACTGAAATTTGATTATCTTGATGACTTTATGATGTAGTGATAGCATGTAGTGATAGCTGTCTTCAGTCAGGTGAAACCAACCTTGTAGATCTTTGATATTACAACAGATAGAACACCAGGAAAGCAGCTGGGCTGGTCATGAATCTAAACTTTATCCTGCCATAAGATCAAAGAGCAAAATAGGCTCAGATATAAATAGTGAGCCTTAGCAGTTAAATAGTTTGTATTCCTCTAACAGTTAAAATAATTTTAAATGCATTATATGTATCTCAATTTCTGTTTAGTATAACACTGTATACCAAAGTTGCTGCCTACATGAGGACTACCCAGCACTATTTAAATGGACACATAGCCAGGTTTCACCCAGACCTGCAGAACCATAATCTGTGAATTTAAAGCTCTAGTATTTAACTTTCTCAGTACCCTACTTGATCTTGATAGAGTGCCTTAAAACTTGCCTATGCAACCAATAAAGTGATTTTGAAATTGAGTTTCATGAAAAGCACAGTACTGTTCAGTGATATTGATAAGAAAAGTGGTATGTTAAGTATGGATATGTTTGGAAGTATACATTCTATACATGGAAGAGACAGGAAGTATAGATCTCTATATTATAGCAGTAATACCAGTGTAAGACAATGCCAGCACATTAGTCAAAATAATGTGACAAAGTAGAAATTCAGAGATGTCATTTTATTACCTTGAAACACTCTAGGTAATGGAACTGAGATTTTCTTTTCTTTTTTTTTTCTCTGACAGTTTCTTAGTAAAAAATTACCTTGTGATCCTGGCAATTCCTATATGACACTCTAGGGTGGCTATGCTTAAAAGCAAATGTCAGTTTACAAGGTTAATTGAAAAACTGGTACACTGAAAGTCAACAACAACAATAAGTTGTCATGTACTCTGACTTAGATTTAGCCCATTAATAATATTCCTTAAAGCAAGAACTTATAACCAAGGATAATTGATGCAAGTTTTGAAGACAGATACCTTTAAAAATTGTTTTGTTAATGTAATCATTTATGGATACTACTTGGAAAATTTACTGTACAATTTCCTATCATTTTTGTTTCTTTGCAGAACAAATTCCAAGGATGTATCTTTGACCTAGTAACAAACCAAGCTTTCGATATAGCCATCATGGTTCTGATCTGCCTCAACATGGTAACCATGATGGTAGAAAAAGAGGGACAAAGTGAATACATGACTGAAGTTTTATATTGGATCAATGTGGTTTTTATTATCCTGTTCTCTGGAGAATTTGTGCTGAAACTGATCTCCCTCAGATGCTACTACTTCACTGTAGGATGGAACATCTTTGATTTTGTGGTTGTAATACTCTCCATTGTAGGTAAGACCGTTTATTAATCAGATTTTAATTTTGAATCAAACTAAACATCACACATATTCAGAGAAGTTTCTGAATTCATGAATATAAACCTACTTTTGAGTAAGACTGAAAAAATGAAGTCACCTTTAAAGCAAAACTAAACAAAATAAAATCCTCTGTGTCAGAATTCCTAGGTTCACATCACAAGACTGAAGGATACATTTTCTATTTGTTGGAAGCACATAATACTCCTTGATATTTGACTTCCAAGATTACCCTTCACAAACGTAGCAAGTGTTTCAATAGATAGGTATGTCTTAGAAGACCAATGTAAATTGACAATGTAAATCTAAATGTAGAGTCTGAAATCATTTTAGTTTTTACATATATGAGAACTATCTCTTGATTAATGATAAGATAACTAGCCAGAATATTGGTGATTGAAAATTCTCCCTGAAATCAAAGTGAAGTTAAGGTATGAAGAAATGCCAGCTTCATTTCTTACAGCTTCATACTTGTCAAGTCTGTAATCATTTTCAACCAACCGCAGTCATGTCTGTGAATCATATTTGATTTTATACTTCCTCTTGTTTCATTACCATAGCTGTTTTCCTTTCATCTTGTTTTTCATTATTTCTACATGCCTTGCCCAGTAGTTTAGGTTTGCATTTATTTTTATAAATTTTAGACAGGAAGAGATTGTGGAGATTATTTAATACAAACTCACTTAGAGATGCTGAAACAAGGAGACTCAGAAGGGTTGAAAGTACTGTAATCTAAAACTGCCATATTGAGTACTGCAACTTAGAATAGGCATTAAAAATCAATTTTTGAAAAAAAATAAGAAAAATTAAAATTTAGATAGGACTCACACATTAACAACAAGCAGAATAGAGGAAGCATTCCAATTAACTTAGGAAGAAAGGAATGTCCCTCTATCACTTCTCTTTGTAACAGTGTTGGATGATCCAATTAGATCATAAAACAGAGAGGTACATACCTTTAAATAATGGAGCAAATGTTCAGTTTCACATCTTATTGTGGTACTCTAAAAATGCAAGAGAATCAACCAATAAAATGGATTCAGTTAGAGTTCAGAAAGTGCAGATTTTAAATTGCATGGACCAATGTTGATAATTGTTTATGTGGACCAAAAGATTAGAAAATATATCTAAGGAAATCTCATTCATGATTCCAAAAATAAAGAAAAATACCTAGTAATAACTGTAATAAGAAATGTATAAGACTTCTATGAGGAAAACTAACAGAAACAAAAGAAAGTTTAAATAATAAATCCAGTGTTATCCCAATGAGAATATGAATGGGATAATAAATTGACAACCTAAATCTAAATGATTCTAAAATTCATCTGGAAGAAAAATGAGAGTAATGAAGTGTGACTTACATTGCCAGATATTAAAGATTGTTATTACCTTGATGAAGTAATAGATTCAAATAAATAATCCAATTTTAAGCTTCAGTGTATAGAGAATTACTAAGTTAGTTAAAAGATCTCATGGATCAAGATTAATTGATGTGTAAAAATGTATTTTAGTAGAAATAGATTTATAACCATGAGCTTGAGTGGTCCTTTCTATTCATGACAAACAATTCCCTTGAGACAACATAATAGATATGACCACATAAAAATCAAAATATTTATTCTACGGAGGAAAAATCACTACCACCGCCAAATTAAAAAAGTTGAAAAACATGTTAAAAACAAGGAAATTGTTAATGTAACACTTATGGCTAACAAAGGATTAGTACTTGTAATAAAAAAAAATTCTTCATAAATCAATGAGAAAATAGTAAATCTCCCAACAGAAAAATAGTCAAAGAACTAAACTAGGCCAAAAGGAGAAAGTTGAAAATAGTCAACAAGCATACAAAATGTCCAATAAATCAAGAAAATCTGGATTATTTTTCACAAAAAAAAAAATGCCACAATACTGAGATGTTTCAAACATCACAGAGATATTTTTGGTAAAATTATAACGAAGAAAACAGCTGGTGAGCATGTGAAGTGGAAGCACTTTCATAGACTATCATTAGGAAAGTTAGTTTCTACAAACTTTTTGGAGGTAGATTTGCAATATATAACAAAAATTTAAATATACTATTTCACCTACCTTCTATTATTATCAAAAAATGCTCATGCAACTAGAAAAAAAGCACCTTCTTAGATATTCATTTCAGTCAAAACAATTGGAAACAGCATAAAGTTCTTCAATATATGGTGACTTTGACAGAACTTTATACAACTATAGGGAATTGTTCTATTGTCATTTATATGGAAATACCTCCATAACATATGATGAAATAACTAAAACAGATGACAAAAATCCCTTCTACTATCATGCTTACATTTGTATATGTTTGTGTGCTTGCATAGAAAAATGGAGTGATCCTAAACAAAATACTAACATCTGTTAATGGTTGGTTGATATTTCAGGTGATTTATATTTTCTTTTTAGCATTTTACTATGTGACTTTAAATTTTCTACCCTTCTAATTTAAAAAATTGTGCATTAAAAAAAAGGTCCACAAACCTACTAAAGGAGAAAAAAAGTCACAATGGTTAAATCTACCCATTTTACTGTGAGATTGCTCAATTCTTGTATTGTTATAATATTGTCTTCAATATAAAATGAAAATCCTGAAATCACAAGAGATAAAATGGCACATAAAACTATTTAGAGTCATGATTTTCTATAACATAGGTATTTAAATATTTACCATTTACTCCTTCACTCTTCACCAGGTATGTTTCTAGCAGATTTGATAGAAAGGTATTTTGTGTCCCCTACCCTATTCCGAGTGATCCGTCTTGCCAGGATTGGCCGAATCCTGCGTCTGATCAAAGGGGCCAAGGGAATCCGCACGCTGCTCTTTGCTTTGATGATGTCCCTTCCTGCGTTGTTTAACATCGGCCTCCTGCTCTTCCTGGTCATGTTCATCTATGCCATCTTTGGAATGTCCAACTTTGCCTATGTTAAAAAGGAAGCTGGAATTAATGACATGTTCAACTTTGAGACCTTTGGCAACAGCATGATCTGCCTGTTCCAGATTACCACCTCTGCTGGCTGGGATGGATTGCTAGCACCTATCCTCAACAGTGCACCACCGGACTGTGACCCCAAAAAAGTTCATCCTGGAAGCTCAGTTGAAGGAGACTGTGGGAACCCGTCTGTTGGGATATTCTACTTTGTCAGTTACATCATCATATCATTTCTGGTCGTGGTGAACATGTACATCGCTGTCATCCTGGAGAACTTCAGTGTTGCTACTGAAGAAAGTACTGAGCCTCTGAGTGAGGACGACTTTGAGATGTTCTACGAGGTTTGGGAGAAGTTTGATCCTGACGCCACCCAATTTATAGAATATAGCAAACTCTCTGATTTTGCAGCTGCCCTGGATCCTCCTCTTCTTATAGCAAAACCAAACAAAGTCCAGCTCATTGCCATGGACCTGCCCATGGTCAGTGGGGACAGGATCCACTGCCTCGACATCTTGTTTGCTTTTACAAAGCGTGTTTTGGGGGAAGGTGGAGAGATGGACTCTCTTCGTTCACAGATGGAAGAAAGGTTCATGTCTGCAAATCCTTCTAAAGTGTCTTACGAGCCCATCACAACTACACTAAAAAGAAAGCAAGAGGATGTGTCTGCTACAGTCATTCAGCGTGCTTATAGACGTTACCGCTTGCGACAAAATGTCAAAAATATATCAAGTATATACATCAAAGATGCTGACAGAGATGATGATTTGCCCAATAAAGAAGATATGGTTTTTGATAATGTTAATGAGAACTCAAGTCTAGAAAAAGCAGATGCAACTCCATCCACTGTCTCTCCACCTTCATATGATAGTGTAACGAAACCAGACAAAGAGAAATATGAAAAAGACAAAACAGAAAAGGAAGACAAAGGGAAAGATGGCAAGGAAGGCAAAAAATAGAGCTTCATTTCTGATATATTGTTTACAGCCTGTGAAGGTGATATATTTGTGTTAATAAGACTCTTTTGAGGAGGTCTATGCCAAATCTCTTTTTATCAATTTATTCTCAAAGTCAGTGCTTTTGCTAGCTCTGATTCTCTGACATAGGTGGGCAGCGTTAGCAGATGGCTATTTTTGCATTGGTAAATGTATCTCTAAGAATTGTTAAGAGTAAGTGTATGGGAATTATTGATTATAGCAAACAAAGGTGATTTAATTTTATTTACTTTTAATAAATCAGAAAATCATGTAGAAAATATTCACATCTGCCTTGTCATCTTTTCACAGGATTGTAAACATTCATGTTTCCCATGCACGCAGGCATATGTGTGCACACACACACACCAATACCTAGCATTTGGATATCTACAAAAGTATTTTGCCTTGACTTTTCAATGAAGTGCTCTGATAGAAGGCACTAGTAATGAATGTTCAGTTAAAACATCTTGTTATCTTGTTATTAGGGGGCAAGACTCTTTTTTCCATGTACAGAGGTCATTCTATATTTTGAGGTGCTTAAATTTATCCATGTTACATGAAAACCAATTTATATGTGCCCACTAAATGCCATGGGACATGTAGGCTGGTCAGTTCTACCAGTGCTTTTTGTTTATCATGATGCATATACCGACTAGGATAAGAGTTACCTTTAAAATGTTGTGCTTCATGAACTGCCTTTTTCTATATCTTCGTTTGTTCATTCGGTAATCATGAAACATGAAAAATTATTTTAAGTACATATCACATTCCTTGAAAGAAAGAAAAAGAACATAATTGAGAAAAGAAGTGACTCAAGAAAGCTTTATCCATTTTTATTTATATCCTGTAATGGACTGTGCTGCTCCAAAAGTACCAACAATGATCCAACTCATCATTTTTGTCACAGTTTTCTGTTTTCTCATGCTGCATTGTTGAATCATTCTTCAGCACTGAGCAAAGCTGATCCTGTCTTCAGTGGAGTGCTTCCAGATATGCAGAAAGATATTTGATATCATGGTACATGTTTGAGCAGATGATGACTTGGGCACAGTATTTAGTGTATCACCTGCATAATATCCTGAATGTGTATGGCAAGCTTTCAAGTCATACTACACGGCAGGCTTTCACCACAAACTTGTGTGTAGTAAGAATGAAATAGCATTCAACCAAGATTCTTGCCAACTTGCTTGCCTGATTGGTTCTAGTAATCCACTTGAACCTTTGTTCTTTTATTTACAAAATGAGGAGGATGTCACTTTCTCCTTAAAATTCTATGACTATAAAATACAATATGTATCCACCAATAATGTACCCTGAGCTTAAAGTTTGCCAAGTACACATTCATTTTGCTTTAGCTGTTGTTCTTCTATCAAGGATTATATATCTAGTTTACAAAAAAAAAAAACTTGTTAATAGTGGCTTGAAAAGAAATACCCATGATGCATTTTTTATGAGCTTATTCCAGGAACATGAGATCATTCTTCTATCAAATTATTCATGCACAGGCAAAAACTGAGTTACAAAAGTGGAAAGTAATTTTATTTAGAAGATTTTGTGGGAGGCTTCAAAGCAAATATATACAACAATATTTCATTCATTTGCTTTCCTCAATGAAAAAAGAACATAAACTGTACTTCTATATTAAGTGCTTAAAACATTTTTGTTGTTCTTTTGGCTAGTTAAAAATAAAGGAGATTTAAGCATACCCATAGAGATGAAGAAGTACGGATAGAGGATGAGAGGCAAAGGGCAAAAAAACAAAACAAAACACAGAAATGAGAAAGACAGACCAAAACAAAGAAAGCGACATCTCCACAGAACTTCCTACCTAGAATGTTTCTAAATTGTGATGTGTTTTACAGCATTTGTGAAGGAGATTATCACATCTAGACATTTGTCCTAAAGCATGAATGAAATTAAACCTAGGGCCAAAGATTTTTTACACCTAAGTTCAATCATTCATCTTACATTATTTGGGCCTCTTTTTTATTTACTATATAAGATACCATGCAGTGTTTTCCTAGACTATATAGAGCATTGTATCACCTCCCTGCTAAGTCTGTTGAAAATAGGTTTTGACCAATTTAGAGAATCATGCAAAATATGTTACCTTTGTAAGATTTTTTAATACACAAAATTAAGAAATTAATATTACCTTAAATGTGAATGCAGTTTATCCTCATCATTTTAAATCCATATAACTGTACTTTGCATATTTATAAAATATAGTGGGAAAAGATGTGGGAAGGTTTATGTGTGATTTACTATTCATGTTTTTACATTGCCTGATTTTTATGTGAAAAAAAATATTAGCAACTTGTTCCTCAACACAATTTATTCTAAGCATTTCAAAAAAAGAATTCCATTTCATGCTGAACTATAATTTTTTAATGTAACTTGGTTAAGTTTTTTATATATATGTTTTCCCAGGAATGTCTAATTGTAACTTTTTATCAATTAATAACAATATTTGGAACCAAGTGCTCATTTAATACATTACAAGCTTGAAGGGAAGTTAGACTTCTCTTTTCGTATAGATTACTGTTTGGTACTAATAATAAGATACCATTCTCAGCACTGTCATGCTAATATTTAAGTCACACTATCATTGAACACATTTAATCTAATGATATAAAATGACAATTACACTGTACAATTTAAATTGGAATAAAATGGCAGTGAACAGATTTGAACACAAATCCATTCATCCAATGGAGATAAACATGGGAGAATCTCATTTTACCTTTTTGACTGTTATGTAGTTTGCAAAAGATGTAAGTAACTTGTTGGCTGTTTCTAAATGCTAATTGATGAAAACTTCAACCCTAAATGTCCAGCATGATTTTATAGAATTTTGATAGCTTTATTCAAAAGTTAAGAGGAAATGCATATGTAAATAAAGCAGTTCTAAATAGCAATTTCAGAGAAACGTTAATGGGAGTGATGAAAGTGGGCCAGCTAAATTATAATGGCCAATAACTGGCTTGGGTTTAGGACCTATGTATAGAGGCCACCAATTTCTTTTAATAACTGTGGTTTGTTATGTTATATTCTTGAGGAAAATAATTGAGTTGCTTCATAAAGATAAATGAATAGCCATGAATATAATAATGCTGTTTACATAGAATTCTTTATAAATTTCATACATCTATGAATGCTCAAAATGTTTGAGTTTGTCATAAATTATATTGTAGTTATACTTGAGACCTGCACATTGTAATAGAATCTAAAAATAAAAGTCATCAAAAAATAAAATCATGTTTGCATGTATTTTCTGTTTTTGTGAGAATAACCTTTAGCATTATCCCATAATCCAGGCAAAAGAAGCTGCAGAGTACATGGTTAAAATCTCTTTCAAGGGAGGGAAGGTTGCATACTGATTAGAGTGGAGGGGGCCTTTGCTGCAACAGGACTTGATGCTCATGGGATGAAAAACATGAATAATTAGAGCTGTAAACAAGCAATAGGAGAAACATGCTATACTTTATTCTCTGTTATTCTGAAAGTTGTGTAATTAGATACCCATATTGACAATCTGTCCCAGAAGAAAAAGCCAATTTTAAGAGATTTAGGAGGCTTGTGTCATGTCTGTATCATGTGCTTTAGCTTGACCCTCAAATTTATTTTTCATAAGCAATTGAAATGCAAAAAAAAATGGATGAAACTATAGGTAGTAAGTATATAGAAAAGATTCAGAGCTTATTAACAATTTCGAAAACCTAGTAGCATTGAGGAAAAATTATTCCTCTTCCGGATGTAATATTTGTTAGCATGTGCTAGTTTCAATTGTATTTTGTACAAGACAATATGACTTCTATTTCATTAATTTCCACTCAGTGACTAGCAACACCTTGGGATATCTCTATGGGCCTATAAGAATAAGAAAAGCAAAAACAAACCATATTGCTAAATGAAAGAAACCATTCTGGAAAGGCTATGTATTGTACAAACTAGCAGGTGGCACCAATGGGAATATTTCAACCCAGGCAGAACTTACTGATATTTCATAATCTTAGAGAAATTTAAATAGAATTGATTTTAACTGCATAAACCCCAGGGAAAATTGAAAAGAGAACTACTGAAGAAAATCGCTATAATTTATTGAAGGGAAAGAATGCAACTCTAAAGTCTGAGAAAGACTTGATAAATTGAGACTACAGAAAAGTGACATTTTCCAACCTCCTGGAGAAGCCACCCAAACCCCATCTACTTTTGCTCTTTCTGCAGTTTTAGAACTGCCAACACCTCACTTCCGTGAAAGACAAACATGATGATGACATCTGAATGACTGTAAATATCAGAGTGTAATATTATATTGATTTATCATTCATTATAAATCATGTATCTATTTGTTAAATTATATTTTACTGTTTCTTCTATAACCTATGTTATAGACTATTTTCTTTCATGATACTTAGAAAGACAGTATCTGGGTGCTTCACAAAAGCTTCATAATTCTGGGTCATAACTTAAAAATAGTGACTTGAGGTTGTGCAGATTCTTTTACTGCATGTCTGCCAGTCCCTGTTTCTCTAGCTTAGTTCAAGTCAAAGGGTTTTGTTTCTCTATAGAAGCACTGACCTCCTTAGACCAAGCTCATCATGTCCCTTGTAGCTCTTGGCATGAGAGTTAAGTGAAGTTTTAGGTTTATTTCAATGAAAAAGATTAAAATATGCTTTCTCACATTCACTACTTGCCTGCAGTTATTCTTCAGGTTTCTCATGTCGGCTGTGGTTTAGTGTCATAAAGCTAAAGTAGATCGTTTCATTTCTTTTCTTCTCCCTGGCTTCCTCCCAGATCCCTTTCTGCCTATAACCATAAGTGGTACTCTGGCTGTGGTTTGTAGCAGGCAGACCCATCTACCTCTCAAATAAATGGACAATGTGTGATTCTTTAAAAAGAAACATCTTTTCCTTTACTTGCAAGTATCAGAACCAAATTAGGTGACTCCAAACTAGTGGTTAGGGTAAGATGAATATATA